AGTAGAACTAGTGATTCCTTAGCAGAATAAGTTTGAATGACGACTTACCCGGAGGGGAATTCAGATAGATGGGAAAGGCACTGAACTAAGTCTTTAAAATTCTTCTAGTCATGCTTTAAAACTCGTTCATATTAAGCTTTAAGATGACAGATACACGCTTTAGGATTAATGCTCTATTTTCTTAAGCAGAGGCCTCGATGTTTGTAAATTTTATGATCAGTAATTTAAGATGGTGCAGACAAAGGTGTCTTAGTGATTCCTCTGCCTCTTATTAATGCTGCAGATACACCGGGGATGCAAACGGGATGCTTAGAAACATTTTCGTCCTATACCTCACTGCATATATCTAATTAAAGGGTTTTTTAAATAGGTAACGTTTTCTAGAAAGCCCTTATTCAAAATTGATTTAATGCGTATTTTCTGTATATTCCACTGTGAACGTTCACTTTTCTCGTTAATGAGTTTTCGTATTTGCTTGAGTTTAAAAACATGACCTCAGCGGCCAGCTGCACTGAAATAAATGTCCAAAAACCACATTCATTTGCTAAATGTTTTTACTAAATATCTTCTTTTGAAGGTTTTGTTAAACACGTAACTAATAACCCACCGAAGGCTTAGAAAAGGTATATTTTCAAAGTTGATTCTAAAAACTTTTCACAAGTTAAAGGAGAATAGTGGGTGAATGACCACAGTATCCGCACTAAATGTAGGCAAATCTCGGCAATGGCGACCCATATAGCTTGACGCAAGACTGTGTCGCGTTAGGTTGACCTCCGTAGCACGAACTGAGGTTTCTTAGTCGCAGCAGTATCGGAAGTACTCTTATATGGCTCGCTTCATGACTGAGTACGAGGCATAAACCAGACTGCACCTAATCGAAACGATGCTTAAAATGTGCACATGTATATACGCATAACGTCAATCTCCGTAAGCATGACTCGTACACGCCGCAGCACAAAGCCAGATGTCTGAATCACAGCAGCTTTGGAGGTTTTCTGATATCGCTGGCTTCATTTCTGATTACTAAGACTACAGACCAAAATCTTGAAGCGGCAACTAGACCGCATCTAATTTAAAGGGCGCTTACAATGTATTTCTATCAATGGGCTTAAGCTCATTCTCCGTTAACGTGGCTCGTACAAACCGCTGAAGTCTGAAAAACGAATCGGTAATTGAGAACCAGGCCCAAGAGACATTTATCTGCATTGTAGAAAAGCGAAGTCTTAGCTAAAACCAACCACGATACAATTAAATCTACCAAAATGCGCTACACATTTTTTGACTTTGGTACGTACTGCGAACCCATCCTAACTAGCAACTGGAAGTCAACTCCCATGGAACCTTCTTCATGTCACCTTTATGACAAATTCACCTCTCACAGTCATGGACTCTCTCAGTGGAGCATACGCCACTGAGATTTACGGACCAGGTCATGGCCTGAACAATTTACAGAAAGTATATATTCGCCAACCTTTTTTTCATAGCTATCTTTGCCAATAACCGTGACTGCCACCAATGTCAGGCGTTTCAACTTTGTGGTCCCATAGAAAATAACGTTGGAGTAAACGCTGCAAAAGTAAAGTTAAGTTTATTTTCTTCGATAGAAATAGAAGTGTGCACATTTTTTTGTTTTACGAGAGGGACATGTGTCGAAACTGTATTTCAGTATGAACATGCTTGCACACAAGCCATTGGCACGTCATCGCGGAGACGGGGGTAGTCAAACTAACACGCGCACAAAATAGGTAATTTAAGCAGACGACAGGATGTAATGCTAACAAATTTATAAGGAGTATATACAATATGACGGAAAAAAGTGTTAATTTGAATAAAAAGGTGAATTTAATCAGAGCATTTTCGAGACTGGTGCCTCAGTTCGTTTTCGGAAAAATCTGCGAAGAACAGTTGTGACTAGCTCGCGTCGAAGTGGATTTTCCCAAAGGCCCTCCGATGTTGTTCCCGACGTCTGCGAACAGCCAGTTACAGTTACCGCATAGATGCCTTTTGGGCCGGCGACAAATAGCCTGCCTGCAGGCGTCCCGGCGTAATTAATCTGCCTAGCCAAAAAATCTTCAAGGCTTATCCAGCCAGTGACCGCTCTTTCTCTGTCCACTGGCTTGAATGCTGTCAAACCAGTACCTGGACCCACCCGGCCTCCTGGCTGGTCGTATGCTCTTCAAGTCAAACCTCTTTCCATCTATTTTCTGTTCCCCTGTGTAAACTTATACTGTTCCTACTACTCAGGCCTCTACTGACTTCTACTCTACTAAATTGCCATTGGCTGGAAATCGCAGATGCAAGGGTTTAACTTAGTTAACCCCCTGTGAAAGAAAAACCAAAATTTCTAACCCTTGGAAAAAAAACAGTAGTCACATGGTATGACGCCTGATTAGTGGTTTTGGTGTCTGTCAGTCTGTATTGTGCGGACCTCGTCTCTTCTACCGTGCTTTGAGGTGTTTATAAATTCCTTATAATTATATGTGGCGGTCGAAGAATGAATGGTCGGAGTGCATGGCCTCAATAAATTATCGGCCTATTGGAGGATGTGCTTGTTCCCATGCAAAGCTATGCATAGTCACTTCGGATAAATGGTCCCGACTTTTCACTGCCAGTTCGTGTTCGTGAATGCGTAAATAAACCGACCATCCTGTTTGGCCGCAGTGAATGGTATCCCCAATCAGGTTTTACACCATATGAATATCTATTTTTTATTTCCGCACGTTTGTAATTTCTCGTTAGTCCGAAGAAGAGCTTGGGAACCATTCTCGAAATTTCACTGATTAAATTTACCCTTTTATCGTAAAGAACATTTTTTCTTCAAACTTAATGTCTTAAGATGCATGGATTCCAGTTTATACACGTGTTTACAAACTCTGCACTGTAACCCATTACTATCGAAGAAGTGTATCAAGGACAATGCAAGGTATAGCTAAAGACAGTTCTTCGGAGACTGAATATCCTCCGCGATGAGAGCATTAGGGGGTAGACATGGGGTACGAGGTCTTGCAGGCTCCACATTGAGGCGGGAGCCGTTGATGAAGT